TTATCGCCAACAACTCACAGACACCTAGTATAAAGAATCCAGCCTACAAAACCTGAAAGCAGCAATACGGCTTCGGGATTACAATTACAAAGTGCCAACAGAAGCCATTGCATGCGATTATTTCAAGCCAAAAAATGCTAATGCTTCATCAGAAGAATGTTGGTTATGTATAAAACGTTAAATACCATAAAAGCTGCTCTATAACTATATAAGCATAATTTCTTACATCAAAGGAATAGGGGTTTCGGCGGAACCCCCTCGAACTTACCCCTGCATATGTGCGTGTAACTTCTTGTCAAAAAAAAAAAAAGGATCGGGTTAAAAGGTTAGTTATAAATTAATAAAGCCTATCCTGCATACCAACTCAAGTTATTTGCATTAACCTCCCCTCCTTTCTAGTTCCAAAGTTAGACATATCCGTATGCTCTAACTAGTATATGCTACTATGATAAGTCATGGTGTTGGGTGAAAGGCCTCGTCGGCACTGGATATGGCAGATATAATGTGGTTGATATATTCATATGTATTCTTCTTTGCTTTCACTCATAATTTTTTTAGAATTATATCTTCAAGGTTAGATTCGTGTAGTATTACTATAAAGTAAACCTCGAGTTTGATTTTGTTTTTTAAAGATCGGATTTAGAACAGCCTAAAAATGACATGATGTAACACTTCCCCATGCAGGCTAAGTTAACAAGAAAAAAGAAAACGAAAAGAGACAAACTATAATTATCTACGTGTAACCTGTCTGTGCGACTTGTTTCACCACGCATGCCTGAACAAGCGTACAGGTAAGTGTCAGAAAAGGTGGCATTATGGAAAATATTTGAGATCCGGATGCAAACATGGATTTTAATGTCTGACAACAATATATAAATAGTAGGAATTAACAATAGCCAAGTGTGCAATTGTTCTGAAATATAAATTAGCTATTTTCGTACCTTATTTCTTATCTGTTGTTTTTGTGACAGTCGGATTAGTGGTTATTTTTACTAGATTAGTGATTTTCGTTACTTATTTTTAATCCGTTGTCTTTGTGACAGTTGTATTAGTGGCTATTTTTACTAATTTTTCGCATTTTTCTAAAATGTCCCCCAGTGGAATAGCAGCAAGTCTACGGACTAATAAATCTAAAATCCGGGGTTCGATTCGCTTTGGTGTACACAGCAGATAGCCCAATGTGACTTTGTGACAGTTGTATTAGTGGCTATTTTTACTAATTTTTCGCATTTTTCTAAAATGTCCCCCAGTGGAATAGCAGCAAGTCTACGGACTAATAAATCTAAAATCCGGGGTTCGATTCGCTTTGGTGTACACAGCAGATAGCCCAATGTGACTTTGCTCTAAATAGACAACCGTATTTTATTAAAATATACTTTATATTGAAAGGCATTTCGAATAACGTTAAAAATATTCAAATGAAACATCATGTAAAATAGCAAACAAGTCTAAAACCTACGATGGTGGTTCAGTAGTTGTTTTAATTTGTTACACCACTTTTATTTTATCAGACGTATCTTTAAACGTCCCATAATTAGGTTTATCTTCGCTAGTTCTAACTCTATCAGCAACAGGATTTCTATATCCGGGGGCTTTTGAAAACAGAAATGGACAATTAACAGGACAGAGAAGCTCAAGTTGAGACACGAATCACATCTCCGGTTTACGTCCGATTTGTAAACCTCAACCGAATATTCTTTTAGTCCCAAGACACATCTGTGTATATTATTGACCACAGTTACATCATACGATGCGTACAAATTTAAATAACTACCTCTTTCTTCTTTCTCAAGTAAGCTGTCAGGTGGGTTCAGGTTTGAAGAAACCAGTGGGTTGTGGGTGGTCTGAACGGTGGGAGAGATGTTTGTACTTTGTAATAGAATATTGGTAGCATTCGACGTAATGTGGAGTTCGTTGCTTATAATTTATGGCACACACATTTAGAGTCAAACGTATATTCGAGTGTGCTCAGTACGAGAACTAAAACGTACTGTCTGGGAATTATTTCTAAAAAACACAAACAAACATAAGTAACACACACTCACACGTCGTTGTTTGCTTGTTATTAAGCACAAAGCTACACAAAGGGCTATCTGTGCTCTGTCCACCACGGGTATCGAAACCCGCTTTTTTAGCTGTATAAGTCCGCAGACATACCGCTGTGCCACTGAGGGGGGTCTCACATATTGAAACCTCTACTTTTGAGATTGGTTATATATTTCTCTCCAGTTACTGCTGAGTTATTCAAAGTTTTCAGAAAAATGGAGAACATGCTATTCCGGATCAACGGTAAATTTACGGACTTCAAACCCTAAAATCCAGGGTTCGATTCCCCGTTGCGAACAGAGCGCAGATAGCCTATTGCTTAGTTTTGCGCTAACAACAGTTTATGCTGTCGCGAGTGTTTATTATTATTATTATATTATAAGGTCCGGTGTAAATTGTCACGCCATCCATTGTGCTTCGTTCTCATTACCACGTGACAGAATATTTTAAAAATTTGATAGCGAGTCCAGCATGTATGAGTTTTACTCACCGCATTAAGGCATTGGATCCCAATTATATTTTGCCGAGGGCTGCTTAATTATAATAACCAGAAAGCGACGGGCAGTGAATAGTAGTGGTGGTGGTGGGGGTATTGGTGACATGGGTG